TTGTTTTTTTTTTTTTTTTTTTTGGTGCTAAAAATGTCGGTCTGTTTTGTAGAAACTGATCAAGAATCGGTGGCGTTGAAAGCTTTGCAGAAGGTGCAGTTTGAATTATGCTTCTTCCCCCTCCAGCAGCTCTGTGGTGGCCAAATGCAATTCTTTGCTGCTGGCCATGTAAATAAGCCAAGCTTCTGCTTTCTGAGTTGTCTTGAATGCATCTTGGGTTTTTTTGTTTTTTTTTTTTAAACCCAGCAAACCCCCCCCTCTCTCTTCCCCACGGCCCTTTAAATGCGAGGAGACAGAGGGAGAGTGTAAATTTCAATCTGAAATGAGCCCAAGTGTTATTGGCAATATATTGTCTCGGAGAGAGAAGGGAGGGGGGGGGAAGAGGGGGATCTGGCTTCTTGGACCCAATAAAATGCTCTGCTCCAGTGTAAATATTTACAGGGTATTAGTGACTTTTTAAAAAACATTTTCAGGGAGGGCTGTTATTTACAATGTGTCATAAGTTATTAATGCTCATTGCCTAAGTACCCTGCTAAATCTCTGTCTCATGCTTCAGAACAAAGTCAACCATTGATATATTGTCCAAAGTATGAAAAAAATGTGAGTGGGATTTTTTTTAAAGGCAATATCAGTATTATAAATAAAGGGTAAATATTGCTTTCTACCTGTCAAACTGCAGCCTAAGCCAAGGTTGAGAGGAGGGGATATTTTTTCAGTTGATCTCTCACTTTAAAATTGGTGACAACTGTATTGCCAAGCGCTGTGTTTTGAAGGAGAACTTGGGGAATGGCAAAAAAAATTGTCCTGATTGCCACATTAACTCTGCCTTTTTCTTCTCTCCCCCTAAAAAGTTCACCACGATGTCCAGTGACAGGCAAAGGTCAGATGATGAAAGTCCAAGTACCAGCAGTGGTAGTTCAGATGCAGATCAGAGAGACCCACCAGCACCTGAACCTGAAGAGCAAGAAGAAAGAAAACCTTCTGCCACTCAGCAGAAGAAAAATACCAAACTGTCCAGCAAAACTACTGCTAAGCTATCTACTAGTGCTAAAAGGTAATAATTATTAAGTGATAGCAAAATAATCTGTAGTAGTACATATCTCAGTGTTTGCATTAGACTTGGATAATTAATTCTTGTGAGGGTATGTTGAGTTGCATACTGAACTTCTACATATTCTACATATATATATGTTATCAGTCAGTATTTTCACCAATTACATTGACAGATAGTTGAACAAGCTTGCTACATTTCTTTTGAAAAGACATTTAGAGATTTGATAACTTGTACATTGGCAAATCAGTGTTTAGAGCCCAAAATGAATTTCAAGTAGCAGGAGAACAAGTGTCCAGCTACAAAAGTCTTTTCCATCCGAGTTCAGAGTAGTGGCTCCCCTGTCCCCAACCCCTGTACTGGTGTGGGGTACTGTCCTAGCCTATTTTAATAGGCCTTGCTTATTGTTAACAAGGAGTGATGTTGAATTCAAGTATTTACAGAAGTTCCACTGCCTTTTGATGGTGAGGGAAGAGGATGGGACATGAGGGGCACATACCAATATTTTATAACTTTCCATGCCAGGGAACAGTTCGTCCTTACAGTAAACCGAATATAGTGTTATCAGGCATCTTACTCTGACAAAACTAACTTCAGTTGGACACTTGCCTTAATATGGACTGCAGGATTAGACTCTGGAGATTAATAGCTAACACAGAACTACAAGAGGTTTCTGGAGCTTTTATCTGCCATATCTGTATTTGCATATAACATTTCTGGAAATATTTTTGGGAAGTTCACTCTGATGGACTCAGCCATATGAAACAGACAAACTTTAAATCCCTTGACCTGCTGTGGTCTTTTGAGAGGAACGCAATTTGCCCATACTTTTCCTGATGTTCCTTTTTCTTTAGAATATAGGCTATATTATAGCCAATAGTAGGCTTAGTAAGAAAGTATATAATACTAATACAAGTAGTATTAGTAAGACAAGTAGTATTAGTAAGAAAAAATATATATATTTTTAAAGAGGTCAGTTCTTAGATTAATTCCCTTCAGTATGCACACTGTAGCCAAACTTTCATAAAAGTCTCAGGAATTCTTGTCAGAATTAAGTTAAACAGGTACCTGAAATGTGTTAGCCATAATATAAAAACCCCCCTATGTTTTGGGGGTTTTTTTCCTGTTGTAAAGAAAGTTTTGGAAATTAAATGCCCAAAAGGTAGACGCTTTAAAAATTGGTAAAGGCAAGAAGTTTGAAGTATTAGTAATATATTATATTATGTATATAATGTTTTAGTCATGTGTCTTGAAAAGCTTCACATATATTGTATAGACTGTCATCAGTGGGGTTGCTCTTAATCATCATGGGTCTGTTTCCTTCAGTGTTGGATAACCGAGAGTAGTCAAATTAAATTTAATGGGACTTGTGAAAGGTCTGTCAGGATCAGGTTCTGTTTCTCTCATTTAAATTAGAAACATTACAGTATTGACAGCTCCTCAGTAGTATTTTTATGGGTCCTTATCTGTAAGAAGCCAGTAGCTCTTCATGTGAGGAAATTTAGAGGCAAGTAAAATCTCTTTTCCTAAAAGTAGTTTAGTTTGCACCTTATTTTCTGGATTACTTATTCATTTGACAGAAAGTTTTTAAAAAATATTTCCTTCCTGGATACTAAAACTTCTAGGACTACTATTAAAGAAACAGCAAAGCTGTCACTGGTCTTTCTTTTAAGATCATGATTTATTTAAAAAGTGATTGTGTAAATAAAAATAAGAGCTACTGTACAGGGTTGGCAGAGGACACGTAATAAAAAGGTATGTATAGAGACAAAGTTGATTCCCAGGCATTACTCCAGTAAATATAGATAGCTTGACAGATTCACTTTTAAAATGCTGTATGAAGCATCAGGTAAACATTTTTAAGCATGTATTTTACTTTAATGCAGTTTGTTAATTCAGCCTCAGAGCTCTGCAACACTGGTTTAAAGTCATTGTCAAATGTGCTTGTATCGCCTCCCCCTCCCTCCTTGCCTCATTTGCATATTAGCTTGAAAAGAAAATCTCTCTAGTAAAAAGTGTTCAGATATGGATAACAGTTACTTTTCTGAGTACTTGTGGGAGATTCCTACCAAACTCAGATGCAAGTGTTCTGTATATTCACAGTATCAAGTAAGAAAAAAAGCTGAAAAGTTTCTCTGTTATGGGATTTGGGTTATGCCTCTGAGAACAAAGAGGAAGCAGCCATGTTAGCATTACTGAAGGCAAAGCCAATCTTGCATTTAACTGCATGGTGGTAGAGGGCAGTGTAATTCCCTGATTTATTCTATAGACTATCTCAAACGCTTTGTGTCTGTTCTCATTTCACCAACAGAATTCAGAAGGAGCTAGCTGAAATAACCCTTGATCCTCCTCCTAACTGCAGGTATGTAACAACTTTTTAAAATCGGGGACTGTGATAGGAAATTAGCAGGAGATGTTAGTTCAGCAGAACAGAGAAGCCACTCTAATGCCTATAAACAGGTTTTGGTTACAGTAATTTATTTAAAGTAAATTGAACTACTGTAGGGAAACATTTGATAGAATGTTTTACAAAGTTTGGATTTTTCTGGGCACATTGTAGGTGTCACTAATTAATATGAATGGTAAAGCAGATTTTTTGTAGCTATTCATTGCTTATTTTAAAAACACAGACATTCATTGCATAAAACTTCCAGATGTACTTAAGCTTTGCTTTGAACCTACTGCTTGTGCACAAGTTGAGCTGACTAAGTGCCGAGGTTTATAAAAAGTTATGTTACTATGTTCTATAATTAGATAAAGAACACTGTGTGATGTTTATGTGTTTTATCTTACTACTGTATAGTGCTTGAAGCTGAAGTATTACCTTTAAAGTTTTTGTCTGTTGGCCAGATATTGTATTCTCTTGATTGATGGTATTTTAAGGAAATTCTCCTGTTACGTGTTAGCCACTCAATCGTTTTAGAAAATGAAGTTGCAGGGTGAGAGATTACTGAAAAATTCATTTTTAAAGAAAGAAAAGATTACTGTGCCCGTATTTTTGTAAGAAAGTCACAGTAGCATAATTGACTAAATAGCTTCTTTATTTTTACTCTTTCTTGAGATTTGATAATTCTGGAAAATATTTATTTTAAGCACAAATTCAGGTAAATGTCATGTATCAAAATTTGTAATAAGGCCAGGTTTGAGACACCCAACTTAATGTTGCCTATAACTTGTTTCAGTGGGATTTCTGCCTGTAAAGTATGTTATGTTTAATGACTGCTATGTAACAGGCAGTGTTGGTATAATGTGAAAAAACTGCCAATGCCCTCTATTTGTTTTTTTTCCTTTGTTTGGTGTGTTGAATAGTTGGAAGAGTTTGGTAAAAGGATATTTTACAATTCAATAAGGATGCAGTTGTTTTGATACTTAATACGAAGCATAATCTGTATGACAAGAATTAATCATAGCTTAGTTGTTTTGTCTGATTTTTGCTAAGGGTGTCTTACCTGGAGGTCCATGCTATGGATTTTCTGTGACAGACTGATGTATTTACATGGGGAGGCACTGCCTTCCCTCTTCAAACCAGTATGGCTTTCTAGTTATGTGTCTGCTGTGTTTCAGCACTTTCAAGATCCTAGCATGATACAGCAGGATGCATTTCAAGGAAATAAGCTACTGGAACTTAACCTTTTCCTTCCAGAATTAATGCAGCACCAGTTTGGGTCACAGTGAGTTAGACTTAAAAGGAAAAAAAATACTTTCCACAGTATCATCTGATATTTAGCTACTTGCAAAATATGCTCCCCTGTGGTATCAGTGTAGTATATTTTAAAGAAAGTCTTAATTGCTAATGTTACCACCCAAAGCATAGGGACCCTATTAAGATGTATGGGAGAAAAAAAAAAACGTCTCAAATTATACAAGTTTCTCCTACAGAGTATGGAGGAAAGATTATTTTTGGCCAGTGATGAAGTCTATAATTCTGTCCCCGCACTAAATTTTAAAAAGGAAATTCACCATTCTTAGAGTCATAGAAAATTCTTCTCAGAGCATCTTCATGACTAATACTGTCCACTTAAGACATCTTGGCATTCCCTACAGAAAGGTTAGATTTGCATGAGAGAATTCCTTAGGATTATAATTTTTTATTTGCACTTTTAAAAATCCTAATATGAGGACACAAACACTATGTCATTGCATGTTGCATGCAGGGCAACGAAGGGGAAGACATTTCATATACCTTCTGGAAGCTTGCAGTAGCGTAGATTAGCAAGCATAAACAGACACAGCAGGCATGCGACATACCTTCACTTCATTGCTCTGTGTGCAACTAGCAACAAAATGCAACATTAGCTCTTACCTTTTTGACTGGGAGTACTGCAAGTAAAAAACCCCTACTCAGTAGTCTTGCATTGTAGATTGTATGTGCTTTACAAAATTTAGACCTTGCGGGGGTGGGGGGGAAGAGAAGAATCCCCAGACAATACTTTTACTGTCAAAGAAAAGTGTGTTCAATTTTACTGTAAACATACCCCTGTCATTTGCAATCCACACTGCAATGCAAAAAAACCCCAACTAGAAAGTGATAACAAATAAAGTTATAAAAACATACAAATAAAGTTATTATTATTTTTTAAATTATTTATAATTTTTTCAGTGGTTAGTCTTTAATAAGACAGAAGCAGTCATAATAAGCTTAGTAGCAGATATCAGGAAAATATTAGTGCTTCTGTAACAGCATTCAGTAGAAAAGTTGAACAGTGTATTCAAGCCTTTTGTAGTGCTTTTTCATAACGTAATGCCCAATTCAGTAAAAGTTGTTGGATAATGCAATATCAAATTGCATTTAGTTTCTTGTCAGTGACTCCAAGTGCAAGTACAGACAGCTCTGTATACAAGTTATATGTTTAACTCCTTTTAAAGTGTAATTGTATTATCTGGTGAATATGCTGAATTCAGCAGACAGACAGTTGAGGATCTTAATGAGTGAATCTTGTTTACCTTTTTCCTGGTCTACATTTATCTAACAGCTCTGTTAGCAGTACAGGTTTACAGAAATAGCCATGGCATGAGAATACAGCCCATCAGCCATGGAGATATTTAAGGATTTAAAATAAACTTAAACCAAATGCCTTAAAAAGGTTTTTAATTAAAATTTTAGAATTGTATTGTTTGTAGGTCTAGGTAAAAGTACATTTTTAGAGCTAAAAGTAAATTGTACTAAAACTTAAAAAAAAAAAAAGAAGAAAACTCAAGTTTTCTAGTCAAGTGTATGTCTGTGGCACCTCAGTCCTCATGCAAGACAAGTGTACATTTCCCCAGCTGTTAAGCTTCCTACAGCCACATCTACTACTATCACATCTTTTAAACGATGCTAGGGCCTCATGTGAAAACCACATTGCTTGGGTGTAGAGACTTGCCTTTGATTTCTATTTAAAGCACTTGGATACCACAGTGATGAGCATAGTATAAGAATTTAAATACAGATTTTTTTTGTCTGCTTGTACAAATCAAACTGTAGGGGTTGGTCCTGCATTTCAGACTCTGCTCAATTGATTGCATTCTTGTCATGGTAGACAAATCAAATTGCTGTGTGTGTGTGTGTGGAAATAAAGATAGCCTCCTAGTGGGGCACAATGTATAAAATCTTTGCTTTAACAATATTGTAGGATATTGCCTTTTGCAAGGCACATGCTGAACTCCTATGTACTTTGTTCTATTTACGGAAATCCTAACAATGGCACTGTATGGTTCTAGACATCTGTGTTAAAATAAAATTAAGATTTAGACTTCCCCAACAACAGCAAGGAAATTGTCACTTCATCCTGAAGTCCTCCTCTCTGTAACTAATGCAGGAGTCTTGGATGAGTGGGTCCAACATATACTGTGTAATACTAGGACACAGAGGTAAATTGAGGACAGAGACTTAATGCTGAATTGTCTTGCTTTTGTTGGCTTAATTCAAAGCCTTATGATTTGGTGCAGTGTGTTGCACTTAATTTCTTCTGTGCTTTTAATAGTATAAAGCAAGGCTAAAAAAAGGCTCTGGCCCCATTGCTTCTAGGCAGCTCTATTTCAAACCATGGCCAAGTGCTGAAATATGCTTCAAGGTATGGAAGTGTGCCAAAACCCACCTTTATATATTCTCAGAATACTACTGCATAGATCTTTCACATAATGCATTATAAATCCATGCTGTAGAGATTTTCTTAAATAGTTATTCTAGATATTTGTGTCAAACCTATTTTTAGTTCATAGCATAAAGCTGTTAGGAGTGTAGGTCACCACTCTGTAGTTAAGGTTATACCTGAGGCTGCCGTTCTCAGCTGTGCAGCTCAGAAGCTGTGGCTCAGATGGAAGGGGGAGAAGCTAGATTTAACATTCATGTATCTCTGGGATTCTGGGTTTGACACTTGTCACAATTTAGAGCAGTTCCCAGAGCAGCTGCAAGTCAGGACTGTGCAACTGGCAGTCTGTAGGCTGTAAGAGGCAAGGGCGTCCATGAGACAGTGCATCGAGGAAGATGTAGTAGAGGCCACCCATGCAAAAAGTTGAAATTTGGACAGCCCTGCTGTAAACCGCAGCAACTTTCTTTACCTGCTTTGACCTACTTTGCTTGTTTAAAATAGCTGGAGTGAATGTCTTTCTGGATTCTTTCTTCTGCTTTCCACCTGAGAAAGATGCATCAGTTTAACCTAATGTGTGAATTTAAATACATTTAGTTACACCAATGCAAGCCTTTGCATGGACACTTATTTCAGTTTAACAGCAGGGGTTGTCTGTTTTGGTTCAGCTTACTGGGAATGTGTTGAAGTTAGAGTAAAAAGCCAGCATGTATCCACTGAAGAGCTTTCACTAGTTTAACTAACTTGATTTCAAAGAGGAGATAAGAACTGGTAGAAGTTTTCCATGACTGCGGCCTCTCTCTCAGAACACTACTATTTTCTAGCTTATTCCGTCAATTGCTTCCTTGCAGCCAATGCTCAGAAATGTTATCAGACACTTGATAGCTAGAGGCCTAAACATACTGGGGAAAATCTGCAAAGGGAAAAGATGCAGTCCTCTTTGCCCAAGGACAATACAAAAGTCAGGAGCTAACCTTCTTCACTAGTTGTTGGGAAATGGTATTCTTGGGGTTTTCAGCAAGATGCAATCCTTGGATCTAATACAACAATGTTTCTCAACCCATGGGTCGCAAGAATATATGAAAGGGTTGCGAACAAACTTTAAAAATGGATTCTCCTCTAAAGGAGAAAAACGTGGGAAATAGTGGGTTTTCCCTTGCAGGCTGGCAGAGCTCCAGCAAGGGCCTCCTTGGGGCCTCCCATGTCCCCTGTGCGCCACATGCTGTGAGGGGGGGGATAGGGCCTGGAGGTTCAGGGCAGCAGGTCAGGAATGAGGGGCATCAGCAGGGCCAGG